TTCCCGAGTTACGTCCGTTGTGCACACAAGAACGTTGCATATGTGAAGGCATCAGCGAAGCGCGCGATCGCGAACCGAACTGACAAGACAACAGCGATCTGCTGCTATTGTGTGGTCGGTGTAGGTTAGCCATAATTCCCATTGATTTCAGCCGTACGAGTTTGAATGCAAACTGCGCTCTTCTCACTTACGAGAATGCAAAATTAATGGTCGCGATGGCCACATCCCTGCACACGATTCTCCCCCTAAACTGCCACCTACAGATAAAAATCGATGCGCGCGCACTGCTCTGCTCTTGTTTACAAGTACGTGTGCGCGTGTATGTGTTCGCCTTCACGTATATATATATATTTCTGCGTGTTATATCGATGCTTTGTTGTTCACGGAGCTACCCGGTACGCTGGACATTTGTAAATTCCGTTAAGTCCGTACGTCACGTCCGTAAATTCATCCGTTTTCTCGGCCCGCCGGGTGAGTGCAAGCCGCAACCCAAATTCACCAATTCAATAATTTTTCCTCACGCGCGCACACACGACACGGCTGGAATTAATCGACGCCGGATCGCCTCTAGCAGACAGCAACGGTGGCGCTAATTCGAGATTTTCCTCGTATACGTACGTATACGTGCGTGCGACTCGGGCTTTGCGAGAATCTAGAACGCGACCTGAGTGCAGCGAGACGGGAAAGCCGAATGATGTGATTTATTTTCTCGGGTAGGAAAGCAAGTGGACTTCATTGAATGGCACAGAAACTTAATTGGCGCGCCTTCGCACGTCCGCGGTGGCGGCGGAGGTGTCCGTTCCGCTAATGTGAACTGTATCCCTGCGGGAAATACAGGATCCTCTTTTCATATATAGGCGCGCGATCGCTTTCATGTATAAATTAGATACTTTCTGACCGAATCTGCGACCGTACGATGCCCACACTAGCGCGCCCACACGCGCACGCGCGCGTGCACACACGCACACACGCGCGCACACACGAATATCTTGCGTTCTTTCTGACATTTCTTCTTTGATAAATAATTATTTTTTCGACAAGGGAACACAGTACAGCAATCGTTACTCGGTTACGTTGCCAACTAATTTATTATGGACCATAGAAGCCTATAGGCGAACGGATTATTTTAAATGGTAAATTGTTTAAGAATAACAATTTTTAGAAATGTACGAACGAATAATGCTTTCAATCAACTTCTGGTGAGAAGAAAGATTCAATGCATTTACTTAAAGACTATGAACACAAGAAACACACGCACGCAACACTCACTCACAAGAACACGAACATGCATGTGCACATACATGCACGTACGCACACACAAGCACTCACCCAAATGTGCAAACGCGCGCGCGCGCACACAGACGCGCACCACATACACTATAATATACCATGTAACATGAATATTTTGACATGTATAACCATGTTCTAACGAATTAAGTCTTCAGAAATTGCTAGTTTTAGATTCTACATATACACACACGCACGCACGCACGCACGCACACACACATGCACATACATGCATACACACGCACGCACGCACGCACGCACGAACGCACGCAAGCACGCACACACGCACGCACTCATACATACATGCATGCATACACGTATACATATGGATATAAAAAAGGGATGGACTATACAGATACAGATAGCTACATGCAGTCTTCCTATTTGTATGAACTGCAACCTTTTCGAAAGCACAATGTTTACGCGGAGTATTACAATCATGTTATTGCGTTAGAGGACGTCCGCAGATTCCGCTCTCACTCGCAAGATATTTACGAACGTTAAAGCTTTTATGTAGCATATGTAGCTGAAAATTGATCATGTAAGCCCCAACAGTGCAATACTGCGCAGCCTAAACGCTTCATTACCTTTAAGCTAATAATTGTATGCACCTTCAGGAAATTCGCCCGTGACTTACCGCCGACCATTATAATTCATTTACTGGTCAGCCGGAGAGACTCCCACCACCGTCGTTTCGTCCCGCGACGACATTCGCCTATCCGCGGTTGCCGAACGAGCTTGGGGCCGTCCAGGTCTACTATGCAGTTGGCGCTGTTAGCTAAAATGATTGAAAGCAAATCTCCAATCTTAACTAATATCGATTTTGGTCACGTGCCAGCCGTCCATATACGAAAGATAAATATGTTAGAAAGCTGCGGTCATTTCATTTGCGTCGTGGCGAAACAGAACAGGGGTGTTCGGCTGTAGAGCGAAGAGTGAGTAGCATGCAACGATCGTTGCATCATGCGTGCGCGTGAGAGTGTATATTCGGACACGCACGCGCATGCAAGCGTGTGTGTATGTGCATGCATACGTGCGTACGTGCGTGCGTGCATGTGTGCGTATGTAACGTATATGTGGGCGTTTACGTTCATTTACGTGTGCGTGTCCGTCGTTTCATGTGTGCGTGCGTGCGCGCGTGTCCGTCATTCCATGTGCATGCGTGCGTGCGTGCGTGCGTGCGTGCGTGCGTGCGTGTCCGTCGTTTCACGCGCGCGCGTGCGTGTGCGCGTTCCTGCGTGCGTGCGTGCGTTTGTGCGTGCGTGCACTGCCTGTGAGCCTGTATATACATGAGTGTACGGTGCGTGCGTTTCGTACGATTCAATGACTCCGTTTGTGAGGTTCCTCCGCATACAGAAGAACCATGCCAAATCCATAATTTTTTAAATTACATTACGCACTCAATATTCAACGGCGACGGGTTGATGGGCGTATATATTACCAAGCACCGCTCTCTAGTTGCTCCGAACGTAATAAGACGCCTCCAAGCGCCGTGCGCGCCATTTCGCTGTACATATATTGAACGAGTCACGTGACATTATTCATCCTAGGGGTCGCTCAAAGCGTTCTCATGCAAAATTAACAAAAGTCAAACCAAAGTCAAACCATCATTTATCAACGCGCTTGTGACAACTTAACCGCGTGTGCACGTAGCGTGTGCCAGTGTTTAATTCGAATAGGGGGAAGAAGAGTCAACAAGAAATCTTGTTAACACGCAGTGTCTCTACGGACCACCGCGTTATTTATGCATGACTGCCTGTAAAATGAACCGTTATCGTCCCGACTTCGACGAATGAGAAATCACAATAATTTATCGTCAAAATTAATGTTTCATAAACGCGGGAAACAGGCCGAGCCGTTGGCCAATCGTGCGCGAGGATGCCGCGACGGTTTGGCCTAGCAGACGACTGCGGCTTGTTTGCCACGTTGTCAGGACGATAATGGTTGAAATCCGGATGGCGAAATGGTTACGGGCCGGTTTCCCGCCTGAAAAGAAAATGCGGGGATCCATCCAATCAGTACAATATACATGACGCATGTGGCCGTTTATAGATTAAATGTCTAATACATGCATTGCAGTTGCTCGTGACAACTACGACATGTGGCGCTCTCTAGCGTGGAATACTCTCATATTTGCATCTGCAACGGCGCTTGATGTTAACAGGGGAGAATAATGACAAAAAACCCTAATATTATGTATGAAGCAGTAGTCAGTATTTTCAAAGTAACTCATGCGTTTCATTCATTTCATCAACGAAAATTGTGAGCCACGCGTATTTGTTGATACTTGATTGGCGCTTCTGTGGTTCATACAGACCTCGACAATGTAATTTCCAGCTCCCACTCCCAGAATTACGAGTAGTTCCGCCGCTGCTCCCATCTTGATGTTGTTATAGTGTTACTAATGCTGGTATGTACTATTCTGTAGTTCTCACCACCGTATAGCCGCTGTTGCTTGCTACCGCCAATGACGCCACCGCCGCTGCTGCTGCCACCATCAGTGCTGCATGCTACTGCTGCTGCCACCAATGCTGCCGCTGCTGCTACTATCAATGCTGCTGCTGCTGCCGCTGCTGCTGTGCTACCATCAATGCTTCCGCTGCTGCTACCATCAATGCTTCCGCTGCTGCTACCATCAATGCTGCCGCTGTGCGCTGCCTGCTGCCTGCCCCTACCATCAAGTGCTTCGCCTGCCTGCCCTACCATCAATGCTGCCGCTGCTGCTACCTATCTAAATGCTTGCTGCTGCTGCCGCTGTTCTGCTGCTGCTACCATCAATTCTGCGCTGCCTGCTACCCATCAATTGCTTCCGCCTGCTGCCTACCATCAATTGCCTGGCCGCTGCTGCTGCCATCATCAGTGCTGCTGCTACTATCGTCAATGCTACTACCGCCGCCCCTCCGCGGCTGCTAATGCAACTACGCGATAACAGCGATAACGCAACAGCTTCTTTTGTTAGTTTTATGTGATGTAATATTTAAGGTTTTAGGTTGAAATCGAAATTAAACATCATCAAGGTTTACGTCGAACATATATGCCCGTCGTTAACAATAATTGCAAAGTCATTGCAAGACTCAATAAGACCCTAAATTTAGCTCTTTACAATACGAACAAACACTATTCACCCACCAGTATACCTACCAGTAAGGAATAATAAATCCACGAAAACAGGTGGTTGGTGCTACAATAAAAAGGATCTGCCTCACTAGATCTGTCTGTCTATGCGATCAAAAAATCTTTCCTGCGAATTATTTTTCCACAAAGTTGGGTTTTTCATTACGACCATTCATTCAAACACGATCAAGCGTGAAGCCACTTGGGGTTGTATTGAATTTCAATAGGTGTAAAACACAGGTCCTATAACGGACGACAACCAGATATTTGCCCGTTGACTTTTGTTCTCTCCCGTTTGGATTTGATGGTGTATTTATGTACACTATACGTGACAAGTTCCCAGCGCTTTCGATGACGCCGTCCAATTGATTTACATTCATTTACTGCATGTTTTATTTATCTATAGACGCATATAAAATTTTATATTAACATTTTTAATTTTTTTGCGCACCTTTTAAGATTTATGTATAGCACTTTTGTATGTGTGCAAGTTCTTGTCAATACAATGAGAGCTAAAATCGTGGTGGGAATCTGTGAAGTTATTAGTAACTAGTAAGTCCGTGTATATAGTTGGTTAATAAATTTATGGAACACGTGAGCAATCTAAACTGATATTTATTGGATTTAGCACTACGAGCATATAAAGTCAAACCTAATTACAGAATGAAACGTAATTTCATTACACAAGACTTGCAGGTTTTAAATTGAAAAATAATTTCAATTTTAAATCCATTATCAATTGCTGTCAGGGATAATAAAATGTAGTTTAATTACATCCTCTGCACAATTGACACGATATGGCATGATATGGAAGGGAATGTCACAGTTCATAGTACAGGACTAGCGATACAGAGGTATAACCTACTCTGCTCTGTTATATATTTGTATCTACACTAGGCACTGCCTTTTTCTCGTAACGCACTTCATCACAGTCAAAATTGCAAAGTGGGCAACATTTTTCCCATACTAATAATTTTCAGGGAGAAATAATCACTCAAAAACCATGACATAGGGAATAAACACAGAATTTAAAAAATCTCTTGATTTATATATAATTCTGCCGTTTTTATCACAAAATAGTTCATAAAACATTTTCTAGGAGCTTAGGACACCATGCATCCCGAGTCTCTCTTACATAAACAGAGTAACAGATGTAAGTCCCATGTAACTCCCAGTGTAAGATGTATACAATTTACAACTGTAATTAATACATTAAACAGATGTATTATAAATGTCGGGTAGTTGGATGGTGTTATGTGCTTTAATTTCAGTCACATTACATATCCATAACGTTTCCAAAAACGCATTAGAGATGATCAGACATGTATTGGTGTATAATCACCCATCATACCCCCAACTGTTGTAAAAAAAAGTGATGCATAGAGCCTATATATTTCACTAAATACCGGTAAGTATTCTGCACAATGTATGCGTATGAAACACAATATGGTTTCTAGAATCACGACTGCGAACAATCTGCAATCGGTGCATTTCCATGAGAATTCCAGATCCTGTAGTCAATACTTGACACATCACGAGCTACAAATAAAGACATTAATGTCAAGCATGTAACTGTTGTAAGTAGCAATTAAACAAATATGAATATATTTTATCATTGCTAATAATAAAAGTTTACAGGTAGGATGATGAAGATTAATGAAATTTGTTATCACACATACCTGTTAACACCTTGGCTTTGGCAGAAGGAGATATGCTGATGGATTTTACATCTACCCAGCACTCTGATAGTGTGTAATTACTGACCTTGAACACAACCTATACGCCAAAGAAACAATATTAAACAAAAAAAGGATTTATATCTGTACACGAGCCATGTTTCTCAAGCTCGTAAGTGAATTTGGCTTCAGATTAATAAGTAATCAATAGTTCGATTGTCTTATTCCTCTGTCATGCTTTCAAATCATCTCCTAGACAAAAATCTAATTGCGTATTTCTCACTCGTTACTGCACAAATAATTGAAGTTTCCTTGAAACCACTCTTAAATACAAATAATGCTCATTAACCTCAAACTGCTGTTAATGATTTTTGTTTGTCATATCTACCCTAATTATGTGACATCATGCATTTTTTTTCACCAAATCGCTTAACCAACTTCTACGAAGTAAATGTGACCAAGATGCCAGTATTATGTGTGCTTGCCTTTGAAACTCAACCCCTGAAATGCTGGATTAGATTATATTGCAAACAAGAAATAATAAAAGTGTCAGTGACACTATAGCTCACCATTATATACCATATCTCCCATTATATACACTTGATAATTATATATGCGTAATTTTGGATGCGAAAATAAATATTTTGGATCTGAAAGTCTGAAATCTGGGCGAGAGATGGCGCTACGCCTAAATGATCTCCATTTTGGTTTTCGATTATCGCGCAAAGAAAAACAATAAAATATTCCAGTCAAATTACTGTAACGAAGAATCTAAAACACAATATTACACGTAGGTATGATTGTAAAGTTGTTAACCAGTTAGATTGACATTTTTCTGTTATTTTGGTCGAAGGTACGAGTGGGTAGTACGCAACCACAAGTTATCTTCTCGAATCTCGCATCTCGCTACCCCCAACAAAATTGCAGCAAACACGCAGTTTAGAATGACTCAAAAGTAGGATGACCTAATCTACCTAATTTAAAAAAAATATCAAAACCCGTGTGATATGTTTTGGGGCAAGTCCTTATTCATTCACATACCAAAAATTGGCAAAATCCGTTGAACCTGAACTGACTTAATTATGGCCATTTACATTTTTGCCAAAAAGTGGGCG